TTCAAATGAACTTAAACAACTTTTAAATATTTATATATTTCAGAACCATTTAACTATTATTCTTAATGTAAACTTAAATGTAATTTGTACTAATTTCTTTTTGTTCTATCTTTTTTCTCTCCTTATTGATTACATATTGTATATAGCTAATTTATTGATTTTTTTTTGTTTAAATACATTAACAATTCAATATGGTTTCGATAATTTTTGCACTTGATCTAGATAAAATACATTGATCATGTGTTTCATAATGATTCGATAAAATTTTTTAAATATTCAAGTACTGGTTTGTAGGGATTTGATTTGATTCCTTACAGGATTTCATTATGAGCTGAAATCAGTTAGAAAGCCATTGGAAAACCACACAGGCGTACTGCTAGACAGCTGTTTCTGTTGTCCTATTTTGCGAATCTTCAGTAGTACGCACCCACCTCAGTGGGGTTCGAACCAAGGACCTTCTGGTTACTAGGTGGCGAGGTATCTCGTAGACCACCAAGCCAATCCAATGGCCAGGGCATGAATTCTAACTTCTACCAATTCACGACATAGCGTAACCACACCGCAATGTCTTCAATGAGTATCAGTCCTCACGCCTGACCATCTGTACATTACTGGTCACGATTTCTTACTAGAACCCCAGGTAACTACCTACCTGAATGTACATATATATATATATATCATTGAAGAGAAAGTTATCAAAATTTAATTGGTGTATGGTGACTACAAGTGGAATCTAGGATGTGCATTTCGTTTTATTTGGGACTCGTCAACCAGCTGGATCTACCTGCATTTCCCAGTGAGTGATGATGTTTCCACTACCAAGGCTCGAACCCAGTGCCCATAGCTTCAAACGCCAAATCGTTATCCAGTAGACCACTCTGGCCACCTCTTGTGCAACGGGTCATATTAATTATTTATTTGGATGTTTTAGATTTTCCCGTCGATTGATTGAAGAGAAGTGCTCAGTCCCAGGTTGACATGTCTGTCGGCTTCTTGTGCAAATACTTCAACGATGTCTAGGCATGTAATTAGACCGACCACTTCGGTCCAATGAATCGATGGGAAAATCCAAAATTCAATTATATATATATATATATATATATATATATATATATATATTGTATCCTTTAGTTCCTAGAGGAACATAGGGCTTCAGCTGCGCACCTCCATTGACTTCGGTTTTTTGACAACTTAATTCAATTAAAGTTATCTAAAAGAAAAATATTCCTTCCGTTCAATCTTTTCGTCTTCTGTAATTTTTTATCAATGCGAATTTGGGCGTCATCTGAAGTATGTATGAGTCATTATGAAATAAAGTTGATTGATTTTTCTACTAGGGTGTAACCACTAACATAAGAGCAGAAGTTGGAGTATTGTGGTAGAATAATAATTTTCTCCAAAAATCCAAAACTGAATTAAATAATAAATAAATAAATAAATAAATGACCCGTTGCACAAGAGGCAGTAGCTCTCGTGGCCCATATGGTCTAGTGGATAACGCTTTGGCTGGCGTTTGAAAATATAGGCACTGGGTCCGAGCCTCGATGGTGGACACATTATCACTCACTGGGGAATGCAGGTACATCCAGCTAGTTGTCGAGTCCCAAATAGGACGAAATGAGATTAGGTTATATGATAAAACACATTGCTACAGTGTAAATCACTGGATAATATTTTAGATGGTTGGAGGTGGTTGGTAGGATGCCTAAGACCTAGGTTTCGTGATTGTCAGTATTCACCAATCAGAAAAGAGTACCTCCAATCTTGAGAGAACTCGTCTCCCCTCTTGAGATTCGATTCCATGTCATTCCGTGTTGTAGTCGGAGACGTTACAACTGGCCTATTTGGATTCATGATAGACATCCTGTAGAACCGTAATGGATACTTTGATTGGACACTAATCACTAACTAGTATAATGTGTTTAGTCCTTTCTTTGTGATATGTATCCACATATATATATTTATGTGTGTGTATGTTGGTCTCTCTTTCTGTTTGCTCTCTTAGTCTGTGACCATTTCACTTGTATGAACTTGTCTCGTTTAACAATGTATATTCTCCTTATATTATATTATATATAATATGAGTGTTTGTTGACAGTCCGTTGCTTGGTGACATATATCCATATATGGTGGTTGTTGACATGTCTGTTATATTTCGCTATGTATATGTGGATCGATACTTCATTATACTTAGCCATTCATGTTAAGACTGTCTAATGATTGTTCACACCCTTGTCATATATATTTCGCTCACACAATTTGTGTGAACTACTTTACTTACTTACCACTTTGGTGTGAGACCATTTATTTTCGTCTCCTTGTGTTTGGACAATAGAAGTATCATCGCAAACCTAGTGGTCTTCTGATTTCCGCCTTCTTGCGTCAGGACTATTAGTTTCTCGACCAGTCCATAACAATAATTTTTCGACGAGTACATAACAGTTTGGTGCAGACTGAATTCTATCAGTCAGTCAGGTTTTCAATGTGGCCACCATGCCACTAGGTAGCTCGCCATTAAGATGCACATTGATTTGATGATGACGAGCTACCTAGTGGCATGGTGGCCACATTGAAAACCTGACTGACTGATAGAATTCAGTTAGCACCAAAGAAAGGACTAGGTAGACACGTCACATTAGTTACTAATGTCCAATCAAAGTATCCACTACAGTCCTACAGGAGGTCAACCGCGAGACCGAATATCTAGTTCAGTGGTAATGCCTCCGACTGCAACACTCACTGGGTGATGCGGGTACAAATCTTAGAAGAGACACGAGTTCCTTCATTGTAATTGCAGACACGCCTGCCTTGTGGACTAGTGAGTGGAAACTAGCACGAAACTTAGGTGCAAGCAAGGATTCCTGTGTGGCCGATTTGCCTACAACTATCCAATAATAACAGTTTAGAGTGCATAGTGCAATATTTATATTTTGATTACAGCTTGATTTCACACTGTAATTTTGGTACAAGTATGGAATGTTCAGTATGGATATCGGTAGCCCTGATTTCGCAGGCCGACCATAGATATCAGGTGTGCATCGGCAGGGGATCGAAACCTCGAACCATGTGCATGGTCGGCGAGAGTCCTAACCACTGTGCCAACGACGCACAGTGAGCCCTACATTTCAAACTTGACTGTTAGAATCCATTGTGTAGCAAACAAAGAATTAGACGTATATACCACTTAGTGTTCAAGAAAAATATTATTCATAATTATTCCAATCTACTGGTATAAAACTTGAGGTCTGTAGTGATAGAATATACTTACTTACTTTACTTCGGCTATCTCCTACGGGAGGATGAGCCGGCTTCATGAACCATGAAGTTTCATGGGAATTGGGTACGAGTGATGTCCCCAGAATCGCTCGGCCTTTTGTTTGAGAGTGCAGCTCTAGCCTTTACACAACCAAGTGTGACCTACAAGGCAGTAGGAGTGGAGTAGGGAGTCCACTATCCATTGGAAGCCAGCCGGTAACCGGAGTCCGGTTCATACGCCTTTTTGAATGGGGCCAGACATCCAGGACATCCAACAAACCCTTTATCCATACGTCTGTCGGTGAGCTTCATACGCCAGTCGTTGAAGGTTTGGAATCAGGGTTTAGCCATCTCCCCTAGACTGTCATCCAATGGACAGTGAACCCGGTGAAGAGCGCGGGGCATCCGCTTTTGCCCTCTCACTTCGGTGAAAAACACCTCCGCCATGTGAAGGCAGTGAGTAGGACTTCCTCAGGAGAGGCTATGTAAGACGCCCGGTCATATGGGAGCATTTCAAGAGGTGTAGGTAGGGGTGGCCAACCCGCAGCGTAAGACACCCAACCCCGACCATCCTGAGGCTTTGGAGGCTGATAGAGTATAACTCCATTATAGATAAGATTTTATTTTGATAAAGTGTCACACAGTGTTTGTTATACAGTAATATTAACTGATGACCACATTTCGAGCACAAACTATTGACACTCATAATCATATCAAGTCAATCACTCACTCAGACAACTCTCTTACTTCATTTAAATACATGAGTGGGATTGATGATTAGACATTTGGATAAAATCAATACAGGATAATGTAGATTGAGAAATAATAATATGAGTGTTATCGGTCAATTACAATCAGATGAGAAATAAGACGAGTGATTTTATAGTCAAAATAAATAAGTAACTTGTTACAATGTTATGATGTACGTGAATTGAATTGAAATAGAATTTTAAGATTATTTATTATCCTCTTCTGATTTGACTGACTGGTGGTAATAATATCTTCCATGTATATCTCTGGTATTCGCATTGAGTCTCCACCTACATAGATTAATTCTTAGAATCTTAACCCTCTCCCACCCTATTCTGTGGTTTTTGTGTTAATGCATGCGGTGCAATGTAGTGCTGAGCTTTTTTCTAAATTACTTATCTTCGCGAGTGGGGTCAACCATTCTTACCTTAGCTATAATTCTTATGTTCCGACAATCTGATTATCCCCGATCTACTAGTCTGACATATACAGTTGACCTCACATGATCTCATATTGGTTTTTATTCAAATGTCTAATCATCAATCCCACTCATGTATTTAAATGAAGCAAGAGAGTTGTCTGAGTGAGTGATTGACTTGATATGATTATGAGTGTCAATAGTTTGTTCTCGCAACATGGTCATCAGTTCATATTACTGTATAACAAACACTGTGTGACACTTTATCAAAATAAAATCTTATCTATAATGGAGTTATACTCTACCACCACAGTGCCCAAATTTTATACTTACTTATAACAATAATAACTGTTCCGTTTTGAAAAGCACTGACAGTTATCGATCAACCTGACAGTGTAACTGGTAACAAGACGACACAAAAACACGAATTCTGCGTTGTATTGCACACTACTTATTAGTTAGTTTATGAGTAGTTTTAAAACCATCAAATCTTTAGGTTAGCTGGGAATGTCATGTCACCATTTATGCAAAACCTCCCAAAAAATCTTCCATGATATTTGAGAATAAGACAACAAGAATAATAGACATTTTTTTTATCGATTACCAATAAATTATAACCCCTGATTATTATTATTATTATAAATATTATTATTAGGAGAATAAAGTGTAATTTACAAAGAAGTATTTTAAGATATAATTTTAAAAAAGCGCAGTTTTTTCTTCGCCTCTCTGTCAGCTGAAGTTGCCTAGGTAACCAATAGAGGATTCGATAAAAAACGCATGTAAAGTAAGTAAGTTAGCTGGGAAAAATGAGGGGCGGGCGCCAAATAATATGAATAAATAAATAAATATAAACTGTGTACAGAAAAAAAAACAATTGCAAAGTTAGAAAAAAATGGGCGTGTTCAGATGGAGGTCGAATGATCATGAAGGGACAATATTTAAAGAAAACATAAACACCCACTTCCATTAAACATATAGAAGAAGACGGGTGGTAATGCTGATTGCGATAGTCACTGTGTAAATTAGGGGATGCAGTGAGGCCTTCATGAGCAGAGGAAAGGGTGTTGATCGTGGGGGGGAGGGTTGTGGAGTGGAAAGCGGAAGCAGATGAGTACACACTGAGAAAGAGAGAGAGAGAGAGAAAATATCGTGTTGTTATTATCGTCATTATCGTTAATCGTTGAGCTCTACACTACAGTATACAAAACATGTACGTGAGCGTGTGTACGTGCATGTGTGTGTTTGTGTGCGTGAGTGAGTGTCCCCCCATTGTATTCACGGTGTTAATAGTGATTTCGCCGCCTTATTGACTAATGTTGGTTCAGCAATTAAAAATCGTAGAATATCAGATAGCGATACAATGCCTAATACTTTATTTTCAGCAACTACTACAAGACGATGTACCTGAAGAGAAAAGGGAAAGAAAAAGGCCCACGAATTTGAATGTAAATCAATCGATCCATCATTAAAATAAAAAAATAAAAATTTTAAATTTAGCACATTATTGATTTGATACATTATGCTCTACACAAGATGGATTCAAATAGTTTATATTATTATATTGGTTGAAGGTAATCAATCGGCCAGGCATTAGTCAGTAACGCTTATCTGCAACCACAATGAAGGAAATTACGCCCCACTCCTCGTAGATTCGAATCCGCATCAACCAGTGTTGCAGTCACAGAGACTTATGCACTGTGGTAGTAGGTAATTCCATATTAGTTTGTTTATTAGATAGATCACACAGTGAAACAGTATTAGTATTTACTGGATGACAAGGCTTCGAACATAATTTATTACTGTTCATAATCATTTCATCAATTATAATTACACGACTTCGAAACTTCACTTTTATAGTTTTCTTTGTTCTCTCCTATTTGTCGTCGTTGGGGTAGTATAATTTTCCAGATATCTGGGTGGACAGGTGTTGAATCATTCCTATTTCATGTATTTGCCATATTTAGGCAGTCAGAAATGAACTCATTTCTGACCAAGAACTCGAATTTAGGGGGAAAGTGCCAATTAAGGATATAATGTTGGGAGTACAGCTATGCCTAACTTCAACAATATTTAAATTCCAAGGGAAAATATACAAACAAACTGAGGGAGTGGCCATGGGATCACCAATATATATATCACCGGTTGTAGCAGATATATTCATGGATAGGTTGGAAAAAATAGCAATTGAAACGTTCACTCCCACGCCAAAAGTATGGTGGAGGTATGTAGATGACAAATTCACTGTACTTAGACCACGGCATATAGACAGATTTTTCGAACACATTAACTCAAAGGTGGAGGCAATTCAATTCACTTATGAATTGGAATGTCAGGAAGGGGAACTTGCAATGTTAGGATTGTAGCGTAAAAAGGAAAGAGGATGGGAAGTTCAACACTAGTGTCTGTCTGGATTCAACATAGAACTTCGCACCAAAGTGCAGCAGTTCCAGTTGCCACGTTCCAAATAGCACACAGAGGTAGACAAGAAGATGAGTGGAGAGAATCAATAGAGTTTGACAAGTATGAGAGTGAAACAGAATGGGTAATGGTAGGAAGGAATATGAAAGATTACAGAGACTGAATACATCTGGGCCACTGACAACGATTTTGAGCCATGTCACCTATTGTCTCCAGCCATTGATTCCTAGAGTCCCGAGGGCCCCAACCCGGGAGTCTGCATCTCCCTCCCTACCTGACTCAGTTTAACTGTCAAGGATTTCATGGATTGAAGACGCCATGTTTTTGTTTGGCCACCACTTACTCTTTTCCAACCTGCGCCACCTATATCAGCTAGTAATGCCCGTCGGGGGAGGCGATGGTTAGGCATGCGCAGCACGTGACCTAGCCATCTTAGTCTATGTAACTTTATAGCCTCGTCGATTGATTTTCCCTATTTGCCCAACACTACGCCTAACGTCAACATTACTTACCTTATTAAACCACCTGACGTGAGACAGAGATTGTAGCCATCTATGATCAAAAACAGTCAACCTTTTCATGTCTTCAACGCGTATTGGCCATGTTTCAGAGCCATAGAGAAGGACGCAGCGAACTGATGAGCAGTACACACGTCCCTTGGTTGATAACCGGATGTCACGCCTACGCCAGAGATGGTGTAAGTCAGCGAAAGCAGCTCGAGCTTTTCGGATCCGTGCTGAGATTTCATCACCAATCAGTCAGTTGGTACTCATACAAATTCCCAAATAGGTGAAGTGGTCAACATATTCTATCACTTCACTCCCTATCACTAAGTTAGGAGTTGACGTGGTCCAGTCCTGTAGCAGCATCTTACATTTTGTAGGGGCGAATCGCATGCCAAACATACGAAGATTGCTGCTACAGGATAGTTTCCTAGACGTCTAGTGAGTAGTTGTGACCAGTGAGGTCCAACCAGTCAACTGTGTGAGGATGGATTTCTCACCGATGATCACCGATTGGTTGCTGCCAGTCGCAGTAAATACATCACGAATTAGAAGAAGTAGGCGGAGATTACAAAAAGGCATCGGCGAGTAGTGCAGTCCTTTCTCCTTCTTACTGATCCGTTCAGACGGACAGCACACATTCGGCTATCTACCGGGATCCAGTTAAGTAATGTCTTTTCTGCCCTAGTACTCAGAGCTATCCCTACGCCAGCTAATCCTCGTGAACACTAGTGTGTCTTTACAGGAAACCCAAACATTCAAACAGATATTTGGACTTCCAATCATTCCACCCATCTTATGTCAGTGAAAATAGGATTGGTGAAAAGTTTAAATAATAGAACACAAAAACTAAGTAGTACCAAGGAAAATCTGAGACAAGAAGTGAGGTATACAAGAGAAGCTTTGAAGCCTAATTAATAATTACCCTGATAAATTAACCAGAAAGTATGTAGGGGAATGTAAAAATAAGATTAATAATATTAGTAATATTAATGACGACATGCATGTCAAACATGCATTGAGATAATGACAACACCAACAATAAGGAATCTAAATCATCAGAAGTTATACCATACAAGGAAGAAACTTCGGAAGCCTTACGCAGAATTCTTAACAGTGCTAGCAGGAATAAAAGTGACTGACATTCAAAGCGACAAACTCAATTAGAAACAAGCTCTGTTGGCTAAAGGATCAATCCAGTGGAGCCTTTAAAACAAAACAATTTGGCTTATCTCATACCCTGCTCGAATGACTGTCAGGTCAAATACATAGATCAAAGTACCAGAACGGAGTCAGTCAGTCAGCCTAGCAAAGTAGTGGTTAGTTGACCCGAATAAGATAAGAAATCTGGAGAATAGTTCAGCTATACTACTCACTACATGCAATTACACAGAACACAGCCATACAATGAGATGGATGGGATAAGATGAAAGTTTTAAAATCTAATGAAATAGGACGGAGGGAAAGATTGATAACGGAAGATTTGCTTATTGAATCAACTGAGAGAGAATACGTGTAATAGGAGTGACTCAACACCTGTCCACCAAGAAATCTGGAAAATTCTACTACCCTGACGACAATAGATAGGAGAGAGAAAAGAGAACTATAAAACTCAAGTTTCGAAGTTGTGTGATTATAATTGATGGAATGATTATGAACAGTAATAAATTTTGTTCGAAACTTTGTCATCCAATAAACACTGATATTGTTTCACAGAAGTTACTGTTGATCTATTCCAGCTAGCAATTAACCTCATGTATTGCACAATGTGATTGGACACTAATTAGTAACCAGTATAATGTATCTAGTTCTTTCTTCGGTTTCATAGTTTCGGAGAAGGCTGAGATACTTTCCAGCATGCTTAAACCGAAGCAAGTTGTTGTTTGATGCGACTACTAGTCCCGCTTACCGAGCTTTCAATTAGAAGTCTGATGCACAGGGATAGAGCAGTGAAGCTCAGTTCTCATGGTTCATCACATATGCCATCCGATTCAATCAGATTCTGAATCCCATGTACACCATTTTGATGTGGTTGTGTTCTCTGAGCTGGATAGTTAAATTGCGAAGTTTTCATGGCCCTACTAGACAAAATCTTCAGCGCATACATCAATTTATTGAAGTGAAGTGAGCGTTTAGATTACTCCAACAAAAGACTCAACAACGAAAGAAGATCAAAACAAGATCATCTACAAAATCAATTTGTAACAACTGAGAAAAACATTACATTGGCCAAAGTGCACGTCCCCTTTGTATTCGTATTCATGAACATAAGCTAACCGTCAAAAGACATGATATCCACTCCGTCATATCCCTACATCAATTCAACTGGGACAATAAACGTTCAAATATTAGACGAAGGAAATAACAAAAATGTTAGAGAATTTTTAGAAGCTTGGCATTCCAGTGAATCATCAATCAATAGACACAGAGATAGACAAAATTTATCAACCAGTAAGAAAGAAACCTCACACACACAAATGGTCAAAGTTCAAGTCAACGAAACAATCAGTTCGAATACAAGTAACCTAGAAGGTGTGAAAACACATAAAAGCAACCAAAGAGTCACGTCCAAGGTCACCGGCAGAGATGATTAATAAACTCGTGGAAAAATCTAAAAGCTCACTTCAAATAGAAGTATTCGCTGAAGATGTTGTCTAGTTGAGCGATGAAAGCTTTGCAAATTAACTATCCGCCTTGCTCAGAGAACAAAACCACATCAAAATCATCCACCTGAGCTACATATCTTCTCCGTCATATCATGTACACATTTAGAATCGTGGTTTTCCCACCCACTCCCCTAGGTAAACCTCGATATCCACCAATCCGATTGTAAGCAGAAGACGTTCACATTCTCCCAATCAATTTTTTGTGAGGAACATCCATACCGCTTGAAGGCAATGAATAGGACATGACGATATGACAACGCATCGAGAGGAAGACCAAGGTCTATCGATCTTCGATTGTACCAGGTCTTTTATTTCGGTAAAACACTCGATATCGCTAACCATTTTTCACAAGGCGTTTGCTTATAGAAGTGTGTGTGTGTGTGGGTCGTAAATTGATTCCAGGATGTACACATTGTGGAATTCGCCTTTTTTATTGACGACAGATCCCAGAGGATAAATGTATGAAGCCGGTCACACACACACACACGGCTTGTTTGAAGTGCTTTCTGGAGTTATGTCCATATGAACAACTAACCACCGACTGCACACCACTACAAAGTAAGTCGTTATATATACCAATTCCCTCCACAGGAAGCAGACGGCAGCATAACTGACTTACTGGTCGTTTAAGGGAAACACACATTACTGATGTTACACCCCTTTTTGTATCAGCAGTATGACTTAACCACCAGACACCTAACAAACAGTAAACGACTTCATATTACCGTGGTGACTATATTCAATCTGACCGTTATCCGAACAATCTTTCTGGCCCGGTGGGACCTGTAGTTCATACACAGTTCCAGTCAGTATAGCCCAACTACCACGTCAAGATAGAAGTATTCAGTCGGGTTGCTATCCCAGCCATCGACAGACGATTCAATATCACAATAGTCATTCTATTCAGTAAGCTTTTTTGACACACTAACAAAATATGATTTGATACAGGGTGGGGCAGGTCGAGTGTGAGAAAAAATACTCACCACGGATGACATTGGATGGTGCCAGTGAAGCTATGTCGTGACTTGGCAGAAGTTGGAATCCACAGGCTGGCTATTGGATCGGGCCCCAGTGGCTTAATGGTCTACAAGCTCGTCACCTTGTCATCAGAAGGTCGTGGGTTCGGACCCCAGTAGGGTGAGTGCATCCTGCTGAGGAGTCCCAAACTAGGACGAAGCAGTAGTGTGGCAATATTCGCATGGTGTTTTCCAATGGTCCTCTAATCGAGGTCAACCCATGATGTGTGAAATCCCTGCAAACCAACACTTGAATACCATGCTTGTGTATTGATACATAGAAAATCAATAATTACAGGTGTTCACTTCGTTTCATTGCATTTCAATTTGTAAGTGTGTCTTATTATCCCTTGACGCCAGTGTGAGGGGAATCTCCGTGCTTTATAATTTCGTTATTATGGTCATTGTTGCCTACATTCCAGTTAAATGGTCAGTTACCAATTAATTGTAGAAGTTCCTTTTATGAATTTTGCCAGCACAATAAGAAAACGTAGTTTATCTGAAACCTGTGGTGTATTTGCGGAACACATTTCGGAAATTGTGATCACAGGCATACTTGTCATTTACAGTTGTATAATGGACTTAGCTTTAGATGATGTTGGACATCTATTTCCGGGATTAGTTGTATCCAGCGATTTTATTTGATGTTGCACAGCCACTCTGGAATATGTTCTGTGACCCTAACCTGCAGAGACCGATGAATCCTCCCTATGTACGTGTGTCCACACATACATGTAAACTGATGAACACAATGGGGTGTGACACTATCGTTTGGTTGCTGAGAGGGTTAGCAGGGCAGCATAGATCTCGTTTTCTCTATGAAGATAAGTTTAGCTGCATAGTTAATTTCTATTAATTGCCACCTTGAGTCTTTGTTTAGTGATCAGACTGTGTTGATCACCCTTGAATAGTAAGGATATATTAAACGTCCTTTTTCAGAACATTAGATCTTTTTGATTGACACTTCCGTAAAGCTTACTGTATCTCAGCGGGTAATTGTTATCTAACAATATTCCAGTGAGGTTCAAGTGTTGGTTTGTGGGGATTTGATTGGTTACAGCATTTGATCATGAGCTGACATCGGTTAAGGAACCATTGGGAAACCTGGATGGAGTACTGGACAGCTGTTTCGTCCTAGTTTAGCACTCTTCATCAGTACCCACTCACCACCAAGGTTAAAACCCAGGTCCTTCTGGTTACAAGGCGAACTCGTATACTATTAAGACACTGGGACCCGATCCGATACCCAGTCCATGAATTCTAACTTCTACCAATTCACGAGATAGCGCGCGACCAATAGGTTCTCCAACCAATGTCAGCTCATGACGAAAATCTTGTAACCAATCAAATGAAATCATTTCAAACCAACACTTGAATATCAATCCGATGCTCACTAGCGACTAGCCCTATTCAGGTAGGGGTAGTAGTTACCTCGGTTCTAGTAAGAAGTCGTGACCAGTAGGGTACAGCAGCAGGTCAGGTGTGTGAGAACAAATACTCATTACGGATGAAAATAGCTAATGTGCCAGTAGCGCTATAATTCCGTGAGAAAAAAAGTGTGATAAAAACTGACCAACTTACCCCAGCATCGACAATTTTATTCACAATCATTTCTAAAGTATCATCCATTTGGCATGTGGCAACACCTTGGAATTTCTATAGCGTAAAACAAAACATGGAAAGGAAAGCAGAAAGGAGAAATCAAAACGACAGAAAAAAAAATCGATTACTACTTCCATATTTATAGGGGGAAAAAACGTAAAATGTATTTCACGGGAAAAAAAACTTATAGATAGAAAGATAAACATATATAAAAATTGATTCCCAATAATAATAATAATAATAGTATTACAAGCAAATTTTTCCGATAGAAGCTTGTATGTCTGTATGTGTGTGTGTGCGCGCACGCGTTTCTATGAAAGATAATATTTCGATTCTTTTAAAGCAAATTCTTATGTAAAGGTGTTAACTTCAAAAGGGGAATTATGAAATGGGTGGTCGAGTGTAGAGTTTTCCAGCTGGCTAGTAGGCAAGTAAGGCCAAGGATTTACTTTTACTTTACTTTTGATTACAGCTTGATTGCACATCGTATTTTTTGGTACAAGTATAGAATTTTCAGTATGTGACAACCATAGCCCAAATTTTGCAGACCGACCATAGATAGCAGGTGTGTGCGTCTGGAGGGGATTGAACCCCGGACCATGTACATGGTCGATGAGAGTCCTAACCATTGTGCCACCGCCCAACAATTATCATATTTTTTCACCTAAAGACAGCATTCATTTCTGTCAACCGAGAGGTTCTCTGGTGATGCTTGGCTGTAAAGGAAATGCTGAGAAAACACATTGCACTGATCATGGCACTTTACTACGAACTCATGTAGCCAGCTGACGGCTTACGGCAAGTTGTCATCTGAAGTGGTGACGACTAGTGGTGACCGTCAGGGATGCCCATTTTCCCCATTTCTATTCCATTTCATCATAGATGTACTAATGGAACTAACTCTGACTCACTTCAGCTACTCAGGGATTGACTTACTACCAGGGAATAATCTCGTTGACTCAGAATATGCAGACGATATAGTCCTTCTAGGCGAGGACGCTGACAAAATTCAGAGTATTCTGAACACCTTAAGCTGCAACCTACGAATGTTTGGCATGCGATTCGCTCTCGCCAAATGCAAGATGATGTTACAGGACTGGACTACACCGACTCCTAGATTGGAAATAGGAAGTGAAGTGGTAGGGCACGTTAGCCACTTCACTTATTTGGGAAGTACCATCAGCCAGTGCCAACGGGTAGATCTCTGACGAAATCTCAACACGGATACAGAGGGCTCGTCTCGCATTTGCCAGTTTACGCCATCTCTGGCGTAGACGAGATATCCGACTATCGACCAACGGGCGAGTGTACTGCTCATCAGTCCGCTCCGTCCTCATTTATGGCTGTGAGTGAGACCTGGCCACTGAGAGTGGAAGACATGAAAAGATTAGCTGTCTTTGATCATAGGTGCCTGCGTTGTATCTCCCGTGTGAAGTGGTATAATAAGGTGAGCAATATTGTGGTTAGTCCTCAGTCACGTGCTGGGTAAGGAGGGGAAATCAATAGACGAGGCTGTGAAGCTTCATCAACTGAGATGGTTAGGATATGTGTTACGCATACATGCCTAGCTATCGCCTTCCTCGACGGGCAATGTTAGCTGACATAGACTGAATCAATGGCTGGAGACAATAAGTAACATGGCTCAAAATCATTGTCAATGGCCAGCGCAGATGTATTCAGTCTCTGTAATCTTTCATATTGCTTTCTACAACTACCCATTCTATTTCACTCTTATACTTGTCAAACTCTATTGATTCTCTTCACTCATCTTCTTGTCTACCTTTGTGTGCTATTTGGAACGTGGCAACTCGAACTGCTGCACTTCGGTGCCAAGTTCTACGCTGAATCCAGAGACAGACAGGTCTACAAGCTAACTCGCCACTTTGTAACCAGAAGGTTCAGGGTGCGTACTGCTGAATGTCCCAAAGTAGGCTGGCGAAACAGCTGCCTAGTACTCCACTGCAGGTTTTCCAATGGTTCTCCAGCTAATATCGCCTCATAAAGAAATCCTGTAACCAATAGCTAGAACACGTGTTCAGTATTCGCAGCCGTTGCTTCCCTCAACTAACATAATGTTAGCTGACTAAAGTGATTAGGTTAGTAAAACGTTAGTAAAACAGTGGTCAAACCCAAATGTGCCCCTTCGGTCTATGAAGTGTTTAACTGTTGGTTTGAGTCAAGTAGAGAGGTGTAGGTAGATTGCCTGGTTTTGAAGATCTTAGGATGCTAAGGATTCAATTCATTGAGAGTACTGGTGAGATGGCTCAAAATCTGACTGACTGACTGGTTTCAACATAGAACTTTGCACATATGTGCGGCAGTTTGAGTCGCTACACTCCATGTAGCTCACAAAGTAAGAGAAGAAGAAGAAAGTAAAAAGAAATGCAAAATAGAGACAGTAAACAGAGGTGTGAGACAAAGGAATAGTAATAACGAAGAACAATATAGTTTCATTGGAAAGCATAGGTCACAAGGAGTGGATGCATCTGCGATAGCCATTGAGAACGATTTTGAGCCAGCCATATCACCAATTGTCTCCACCTGTCATTGGATTTTACCTCCCGAGGACCCCAACCAAGAAGTCTACACCTTCCTATGTGGCTGGCTGGCTTAAACTAAGTGTTGTGGATTTCATTGACTGATGAGGCAATGGTTTGGTTTGACCACCACTGGCTCTTTTTCAACCTGACCCTATGTCAGTCAGCTAACATTGCCTGTCGAGGAAGGCGATGACTAGACATACGTAACACATGTCCTAACCATATCAGTTGATGAAGCTTCACAACCTCGTCGATTCATTTCCCCTCCTTACCCAGCACCTGACTGGGGACTAACCATAATATTGCTCATCTTATTATACCACTTCACACGGGAGATGCAACGCAGGCACCTATAATCAAAGACAGATATCCTCTTGATGTCTTCCACTCTCAGTGGCCAGGTCTCACAGCCATAAAGGAGGACGGTGAACGAACTGCTGAGCAGTACACACGCCCTCTGGTCGATACCCAGCTAGATATCACGTCTACACCAGAGATGGCACATGCGAAACGAGCCTTCTGTATCTGTGCTGAAATTTCGTCAGCGATCAACCCGTTGGCACTAGCTGATGCAACTTCCCAAATAAGTGAAGTAAATGGTCAACATGCTCTACCACTTCACTGGCTCATAATTGTTTTCACTGACGCAGGTATGAACTCCCATGTTTGTTTCCCATGGTAATCATTCCTTTTTTAATCCGATTTTGATGATTACAGAGTTTTTTGAATTATTTCTTCCTTGGAGTGTTGCGTGAAGTATGGCACTTTGAAATGGTGTACTTTCGTGTAAGGTTCTATGTTAGAACTCAACCAGTCAGTCAGTCATTTAGCTTATTACAGAGATCTGTAGAATTTTGATCACAGGGAAAGTAGACTTGCCAAATAAGAGAAACATACTATGTAAAAGTAATCTAACTAGAAATATAGGACAGCTAGACAGGCACAAAAGTAGACAGGGGATAAGATAAGATAAGGAGGCGGGGATAGGATTCATTCACTTATCGATTAGTAATCAGAAATCAATACATCCAATGGCGCGAAAAATATAAGAAGAATGAAATGGTGTAACCGTAGAAGACAAGAGACACTTGGTATCTCTATATATTGCCAAATTATGTTTACACCTTATCTTCAACGCCACACTATTTGCACAGATCATCTTTCGTGTTGTGGCTGCTACTTCTGGCCTTCCTTCATGCTGTGTGTATCTGTTATGTATCTCCGCAATGCTGTATCACATTTGCCGAATCACACCGAAAGAAGCCGTTTCTAGATGAGTCTAAGTGGTTTAATTTAATGCCCAGAACTAATAACCCCAGTAGAATGTGTGGTGTTGTTAAAGTTCATAAATCAGGATAGCCTATTAGGCCTATAGTTGATTTTAGAAATTCACCTACTTATGAATTATCTAAATATTTAGCCATGGTATTAAATCCCCTAAAAATCCACTCGAAATCTAGACTAACTAATTCTTATGAACTAAAAAACAGATTAGATAATTTAAAATTAGATAGTGAAGAGAAAATGGTCAGTTTTGACATTGTCAGTTTATATACACGTATACCGATAATAAATATGGCTATAGAGGCAGTCAGAAACGAACTCATTTCCGACCAAGAACTCAAAATTAGGACAGAAGTGCTACTTGCGGACATTATGCTGGGAGTGTAGATATGCCTGACTTCAACAGTATTTAAATTCCTCCAAGGGAAAATATACAAACAGACTGAGAGAGTTGCCATAGGATCACCAATATCCCGGGTGTAGCAGATATATTTATGGATAGATGGGAAAAAATAGCGATTGAAAAGTTCAGCCCCAAGCCAAAAGTATGGAGGAGGTATTTAGATGACACAAGGCATATAGATAGATTTTTAGAACACAACTCGGAGGTAGAGGCGATTCAATTCACTCATGAATTGGAAAGTCAGGAAGAAGAGCTTCGAATGTTAGATGGCAAAGTAAAAAGGAAAGAAGATGGGAAGTTAAACACTAGTGTGAGTTTACAGGAAACCCACCCACACATTCAAACAGATACTTGGACATCCGATCATCCCATCCTATGTCAGTAAATATAGGATTGGTGAAATGTTTGTCTGTCTATCTGTCTGTTTTCGACATAGAACTTTGCACATATGTGCGGCAGTTCAAGTCGCCACACTCCATGTAGCATACAAAGCAACACAAAAAATTACAACAAAAGCATAATAGAGACAGTAAACAGTGGTGTGAGACAAAGGAATAGTAATAATGAAGAACAATATAGTTTCATCGGAAAGCATAGGTCACAAGGAGTGGATGCATCTGCGATAGCCATTGAGAACGATTTTGAGCCATGTCACAAATTGTTTCCAACCATTGGTTTTTACCATCACGAGGACCCCGACTAGCCAGTCAAGAAATCTACACTCTCCTACGTGACTGCCTTAAACCAACCGTTGTGGATTTGATTGACGGGTGAGGCCATGTTTTTGCTTGACCTCCGCTAGCTTTTTTCCAACCTGACCGTATATC